AGCCATCCTGGCTGGGGAATTCTGGGAGTTGAAGTCCACTCATCTTAAAGTGGCCAAGTTTGGACAACACTGATCTCAGGCTGCCCTTGGGCTGCTTCACCTGTGGGTGGAGGTATAGGTAGAGGTGGAGGCATGTGGGCGTGCCCTCTACTAGGCAGAAAAATAACAGAAGAAAAATGGGCGAGTTGAATTGCAGGCCACGTACCGATGAATTTCTCTAAATTTTTCCAGAAGTAAAAATGGAAGGCAGAATGAAATCTAAGTGAAACCCTGATTTCACGGACCCCTGGTCTGCAGCTTTTGCCCATTTTAGACCAGATTTTGGTCTGGACGTCCTGCAAAACGACAGACAAATCCATAGCAACAAAGCAGTGAAAATGACATGAATTTTACAGCATTTGCCGCAGTTTGCCTTATTTGAGCACTGACATCTTCATGCAAGTAAAGTAAGCCACAGTTTATGTCATTTGTATAAGAGTGTCATTATACCAATGACGTACATTGTTGTGAATGGCATAATTTCCAATTTAACAGACATTAGCAAAGCACAGTAAGATTTGTCTCCAGTTACTCTGGAGAAAACTCTGCCTTTCATGAACTGAACTAAATAGAGTTTAATAGGCATTGTGCCTTTTGCCTTGCTGGCACATTGGCAAGGTTCACATATTACACTGCACTGCATGGTTTGTTTAACCATGCCATATTGGATAAGTCACGGTTGGTTGAATTTGTACAGAAGCCATAAATCCTGGTTTGGTTCGCACAACACACTAAGCCCAAATCAAATCAATCACGTTTTGAATTTGCAAGCTGTGTGAATCAAGGAATTGAATACTGTCGATTGTAGGGGTGTTTTGGCCTACTGACCTGGATTGCTTTCATCGTATAGAGAGTTTCTCTTCTGTACTCACACTGTGCTACACAACTGCTGTAGTGCATGGAGTACTTCATGCAGTCTGACCTGTGCTCTCACAGCCAGAGATATAATGGAATATTTAGTTTAATGCACAAACCCAGAATTGAGTCTGTGGGGGTTTGCTGTTTGCATGTTCTTCTTTTCCTTGTCCTCTTCTGTTCTCCCTTTTCTTCAGGTGATCATCAGAAGTATGGATGCTTTGGTTTCTCACATTATCCAAGTTGATTATCACTAGCTATGGTTTACACTAGGCCACTTTCAGCCATAATTACGAAAAATGCCTTGTTTATCATAAGGGTAGTTAAATTTAGCTGGACAGTTGGGCAAGCTGTACTTAATCAGAAGCAGAAACATTCTCATCCCTTCTCCAAGGAGGATGGGAGAGTTAGTTCAGGAGCTCAAGGATCTCTGTGGCTCACTCCTGTTCATAAACATGATCTGTGTACTTTGTAGGACTGTGTACACAGGATGTGAATCAGGTCAGTTGTCCGCCTAATCTGATCTGTTGCACCATCATTTGCACATATATGCTCGCAATGTCCAAGAGAACCTAATTTTATTATTAATTAAGGTAAACATTTTCTTAAAGTCCTAATTGCAAGTCTCAGTTATTTTATTGAATAAATTGTGGGTGATAATATCCCCAGAAGCTTATCTCTCTACTAAAGCTCTGGTGCATAACTTTTAGCAAGTTTCTTAATCTGTTGACTAGGGCAGGGTGTTGTAATGTTACAGAGCTCGCCGGTTCAGAAGAGTTGAAAGATTAGAGAAGTTTGTCCCACCAGTTTTGAATATCTAGTGGAGGAACAGGTAATGAATGCTGTGAGTCCATGAGACCTTGAAATAGCTGTTTGAGGAAAATAACATATGTAACATGAGACAGCAGTCAAAGAATATTCAAGAATACAATAAGGCAGAGAAAGACAGACAGAATTTAAGCCCCTTCTATAAATTAGGGAACCCCGAAGAGATAACAGTGGATGGCTGCTTCAAAGCTGGCAAATATGCAGCACCCTCCCAGTTAGATCTGCATCCAAATTCCATCTCTTGGGGTTTTCTGAACAGCTTATCCCAACATCTCTTGGGGTTTTCTGACCACCATTCCTCACAACTGTTTTCAATGACCCCATCTCACTGGATTTTACCAAGGACAAGGAGGATGAGTTTATCTTATCTTGGGGTGCATTGCCTGTTCCTGCCAGGAATGAAACCATTGAGGTTATGGTTTACCACCAAGGATGAGACCATCAAGGTTAAGGGGTATTTGTTTATACCAGGTGGCATTGAGACCATCTCAGAGTTAAGGAGTATCTATTCCCCAAGATTCTGGAATTGAAGATGAGAGAGATGATCTTACTCTACACATGCGTCTCACCAAGGGCAGGGCAAACCAAACTATGACCCAGGTATAATCCTGTAGTGACTAAAATAGATGCTCGCTTAATTCTGGATTACAAACTCAATAATTACTTGGGAAAATAAAGTTCTGTATACCATGCATCTAAAGGAACGAGATACATACGACTATCTAATTCCTCTTCACTAATCTTCTGGTAAAAGTACAACTACTACAACTGGCCATCGTCCAGAAGGGTGGGGCCTACAAGATCTCTAAATTAGGACATGGGCGGGAGAGTTAATGTGTTCTGCAAATACTCTAACCAAGCCAACTAACCTTGGAGGTTCCCCATACTCCAAAACAGTTCTGTGGCTATTTAGACCTAATGTAATTTTTCTCCACCCTGTGAACCATGTTAATCCAAGCAGCTTCCCTCTCCCTTCTGAGTCAAAGATACAATCCTAGAGAGACCTAGTAAAAATGGGGGTTGTGTAGAAAGGGGTAGAGAAAATCCTGCTATGGTTCTGTCCACAATAGTGCTGATTCTACTTAGACCACTGCAGAGTTTATTATGATTTGGACTAACAAATGATCACTTTCTTCCTCACCAAGTAATCAGTGAATATGTGTTGCTAGGCTGAGTCAGTTGCCTGGGGAGAAGATGACTTGGGATTTGGGTAATCCAAACATACCTGTTAGATTTCCTGGCTTTAGATGGCATTCTACCTGTGAAAGAGTCACTTTTAATATAATAAATTCATATATTGTTTATAGAGCTAAGTAAGCTCCTTAATTACTTTTCTTAATCTTTTCTAAGTAGCAGGCCATAGGTTTTCAATTACAAGTATTTCAAGCTTGTTGAGCTCAAAATGGTAGTTCCAACTTTACCACAAGTGTTCCAATCTTGTTCCAGCCATTTGGGGAAGCATTCAAGATCAAAACATGGTTGATTTGAACTTCCAAAATAGTTGGAAGAGCACTGGACCATTTCTGAGAAGGTTGAAATTGTTCCTCCGAATTCCAAATGTTTCACCCGCTGCTAAGCACAGCCACATTAGCCTGGAAGACAAATATACAAGCCTGGAGGGCAATGTGGCAAGCAAAGACTTTAATTGCTTGGCAGAAAAAGTGAAGCTTAGAGTTGACTTTTACTTGTTGAGTGTGGACCATTGATGGTGCGAAGCTTTACAGAACTGTGGGAGAGCCCGCCATTCCTCAACAAATACAGTCACTTGTCACTTGTAATCTTAGCTGGAGTTTCTCACAAAGTATGCTTCCTCATAAATTGTATATTCCTATATAATTGCCTGCAGTTTCAGCACAGTGATATGAATAAAGTGAGGGGGGTTATGGGAGAGAGAAAATGCAGTGTTGCAGCTCAGTTTGGGTTTAAAATAAATCCTGAAAAATGAGATTATGCAATAGTTGCATGATGCTGTCAACTAGGGATCCAGCAGTGTAATTTTTTTTATCCCCCCCCAAAACTGAGTTTTTGCCAGCACCCCAACACCTGGTTAGCTAGAGTAGGAGAGTGGATGGTGTCTTGGGATGTGACAAGGTGGAGGAATAAATAGACTTTTCTTGAAGGTGTTATTGATTTCAAGGAATGCTTGATGATATAACAACCTGTCAGAAGCCTCGCAATCAATTAACCATTTTCCTAATTAGCTTGCTTCATTTCTGCCATTATAAGAAA